CATCCCTCCTGTTTCCTGCATACCTATTCATAGCTCTACTGGGCACTTGTCATAGCATACAGCGTTGTGTCTCCCTGACCAGATAAGGTATTTTTGTGGCCAGCACCAGGGTCAGGGTTATTGGTTCTCCTCTCACCCCAGGACACAACAACTCACTCCTTCAGAAGCAGTGAGTCTCACTGGGGAAGAGGTCCCTTCTACAGGGTAGTCTCCAGCTGAGAATCACTGCCACTACTGTGGTGCCACATGCTTAAAAATATTTGTTTAATCAGAAAATTCTGTTGAAGGTATCATAAGTTGGGCATATTTCCATGAGGGATTTGTGTTATGAGATCTCTAGTTGCCATACCTAATTAAAACAAGGAGAAACACAATAAACTGGATTTTCATCAATAAAATTAGGATGCAGAAATCAAGAGTAATGTTTGACTTTGTACTAAGTAGTAAAAACGATGGTCGAACAATACATATTAAGAACCTTTAAACACCAAACCTTTGATCCTGATTTTCACTTCTAGAACTAGATTATGGGGAAATCATTAAAAAATTCTAAGATTTATGAAGGAGATGTGTAACACGGCTCTAAAACTGCCAAACTTAAACAAACTGGATGGGAGCACTTAAACACCCAATATTTCCATAACAAAGTTAAATAACAAACCAAGAAAATTACTCATATTAAAGGGCTGATCTCCCTAATATATAAAGAGTTCCTAAAAAATCAAAAGGACTAAGAACTTATGAAAAAAATGAGTGAAGGATATGAATAGATAGAAATTATTCAAAAACACAGAGAATGATGCTAATAAGAAAAAAAGCAAAGTAAAATTATACTTTGTGATGCCATTTTCACCTTGAATTGGCAGAAATACAAAAGTATGAAGCTCACGCTATTGGTAAGGCTATGAGAAAACAGGCACTTATACCTTGCCAAAGTCTATGAGAAAACAGGCACTTATACCTTGCCAAAGTCCTATGGGAGTCACTTTGATGCTATCCTCAAAATTACAATTGCATATACCTTTTGCTTAATTATACCACTTCAGAGAAAGTACCCTATACAAAATACCATAGGCGTAAGATCGTTCATTAGCATAATTTGCAATAAAAGTTTGGAAACAACATTAAATGAATATCGACAAGGCAAATGGATAAGGGACTACAGTACTATAAAGGTTTAAAAAAAAGTTCTCTATGTACTAAGACGACACATTACTGCTACCTACAGGGTAGAGTTAAAAAAGCAGGCTACAAAATGTGCCTAGAATGCCTCCTTTTGTGTGAAAAAAAGAAAAATAATATGTAATTATATTTGCTTATACATGCATAAAGAAACTGTAAGCACACATAGGAAACTAACAATAGTAGTAACCTAGTAGATTCGGGAAGGCAGAAATGTAACTATTTCATTGTATTTATACATATATGAATATGTATTTATTTTTATATTTTTGAGTGTCAGGAATACATTATCTATTTAAAATTTAAGTTTAAAAAAAAAAGCAGAAAAGGATTTCTGGTCAAGATGGCAGAGTAGGTAAACACTGTGCTTGCTTCCTCTCACGACCACATCAAAATTACAACCAAACTACAGAACAACCATCACCGAAAATCTCCTGAAGTCTAGCTAAACAGAAGTCCTACAATTATGAACATACAGAAGAAACCACATTTAGACTGGTAGGAAGGGTGGAGATGCAGAACAGGCTGGTCCCATACCCACATGTGGTGGTTAAAAATCGGGATGTCTCGGCTGCGGAGATCCTCCCAGAGAAGCAAGGGTTTCCAGCCCCATACCAGGTTTCCCAATCACAGCTCTAATGCCAGGAAGACAAGTCCTCACAAAATCTGGATGTGAAAATCAGTGGGACAGAAGGCTGCTGGAGTCCCAGGTATTCCTCTTGGAGGGCTGGAGCACAAACTAACCCACTGGCAGAATCGCTGGCTCTGAGCTCTAGTGCTGGGGCAGCAGCTCTGGGGGTGCCAGAGACATACAAGGAGGAACAAAATTGTCTGGCTTCAGGGAGGCTTTCTCCCAGTTAGAAGTGCTGGCAGAGGCCACTGACTATTCCTTTGTTGGGCCCTCCCCACACCCAGCATGCAGACTCAGGCAGCAGCCACATCTGAGTCTCCATCAACCTAGCTAACACTTATCAGCTGGCTCCGGTGATTCTCTGAGACCCCATCCCACAGAACTTCCATCCCAAGCTGCTTTTAGCATCTTTTTCATACAAATGGCCTGTTTTGGTTTGTGCTACGAACTTTCCTAAAATCTCTCAAAGGTTCACAAACTCCAAACAAGCAGCAAGTGGCCTCAGCATGTCCCATACCTCTTGCTGAGCAGCCCTGAGCCCGACACTAGTAGCACTGGTCTCGGTTCCGGTTTGGCCTCTTCTGGCACCTCCAAGCCCAACATAGGTGGTGTCCATCTGTGGACTGCTTGGTGACTCATGCCAGGTAGCCCTGAGCAGGGCTCAGGCTGTGGCTGAACTTGGCCTGTAGCAGGCTCCTCAGGAGGCCTTGGGGCCAGCACACCCAGTGGCCAGCTTCTGAGCAGCAAGAGCACCAAGAGCCGCTTCCACAAACAACACACCCGAGGGCAGACTGGGCAGGCACCAGAACCCTGCTAAAGTGAACCCTATGTTGTAGGATCAGTTCCTGCAAAACAGCTCCTCTGCTATATTCACCGGCCAGTCCTCACAACCAGTCAGTCTGAGGGTCAATCCCTCCCGCTGATGTGCAAACTGCAACCAAAGCTCAACTATAATAAGTGGGCACACACAACCCATACAAGAGGCATACACCTGGAGCACCCAGCTCAGGTGACCGGGGATACTGCACCACTGGGCCCCACAGGACATCTACTACTTAAGGCCACTCTACTAAGACCAAGAGACATAGCAGCCCTACCTAACACACAGAAATAAACACAGGGAGACAGCCGAAATGGGGAGACAAACGTGTATGAAATGAGAGAAGAGAACAAAGCTCCAGACAAAGAACTAAACAAAACTAAGCAATCTATCAGATGCATAGTTCAAAACACGTTATAAGGATGGTCAGTAAACTTAGGGAGAGTAGATGAACTCTGTTAGAACTTTAACAAAGAGATAGAAAACATTAAAATGGATAGAAAACATAAAAAAGAACTGGTAAGAAATAAAGACTACAATAATTGAAATGAAGAAGACCTTAGGAGAAATCAACAGATTAGATGAAGCAGAGGATCTAATCAATGATTAAGGTAGCAGAAAACACCCAATCAGAACAGCAACAGGAAAGAATAATCCAAAAAAATAAGGATAGTTTAAGGGGCCTCTGGGACAACATCAAGTGTACCAACATTCACATCATAGGGGTATCAGAGGAGAAGAGAGAGCAGGGAATTGAAAACCTAATTGAAGAAACAATGACTGAAAACTTTCCTAACCTGGATATGGAAACAGACATACAAGCCCAGGAAGCAGAGAGGCCCAAACAAAATGAAACCAAAGAGGCCCATACTGAGACACATCATAACTAAAATGCCAAAAGTTAAAGACAAAGAGAGAATCTTAAGAGCACCAAGAGAAAAGCAGTTAGTTACCTACAAGAGAGCTCCCATAAGACTGTCAGCTGATTTCTCAACAAAAACTTTGCAGGCCACAGGGAATGGCATGAAATATTCAAAGTGATGAAAAGCCAGGACCTATAGCCAAAATTACTCTACCCAGCAAAGCTGTCATTTAGAATTGAAGGACAGATAAAGAGCTTCCCAGACAAGAAAAAGCTAAAGGAGTTCATCATCACCAAATCAGTATTACAGGAGATGTTTGAGAGACTTCTTTGAGAAGAGAAAAAAAGGTTAAAAATATGAATAAAATGGCAATAACTACATTAACTTTAAATGTAAATGGACTAAATGCTCCAATTGAAAGACACAGGGTGGATGAATGCATAAGAAAATAAGACCCTTACATATGCTGCCTACAAGATTCACTTCAGATCAAAAGATACAATCAGACTGAAAGTAAAAGGATGGAAAAACGTATATCATGAAAATAGAAACAAACAAAAAAAGCTGGGGTAGCAACACTTATATAGAACAAAATAAACTTTAAAATAAAGGCTATAATAGAGAGCAAAGAAGAACCCAGTAATCCCACTTCTGGGTATTAAGCTGAAGAAACTGAAAACACTACTTCAAAGGGACATGCACATCCATATGTTCACTGCAGTAGTATTTACAATAGTCAAGATATGGATAGAACCTAGGTCTCCATCAATAGATAAATGGATAAGAAAGAAGTGGTGCATATTTACAAAGGAATATTACTCCACCATAAAAAAAGAATGAAATCTTGCCATCTGTAGCAACATGGATCGGCCTAGAAGGTATTTTGCTGAGTGGAGTAAGTGAGACAGAGAGAGGTAAATGCCATATGATTTCATTTACATGAGGAATCTAAAGAACAAAATAAACAAACAAAACAAAAACAAAATCATAGATACAGAGAACATTTTCATGGTTGCCAAATGGGAGGGGGATTGAGAGGGTGGGTGAAAAAGGGGAAGAGAATAAGAAGTACAAATTGGTAATTACCAAATAGTCATGGTACAGCATAAGGAATACAGTCAATAATATTGTAATACACTATACTGTATGTATTGGCATACACTATACTGTATGCCAGCTATAATTTAAAAATTAAAAAATTATTTTGAAAGCAGAAAAAACTTTGAAGAATTTTTAATATATTAAACATTCAATGTCAATAAATGTTTATTGAAAAGTTATATTCTATGATCTCAATTATGTTTTTTAAAAATATACAATACCTACCTACATGCATGCATCCAAATGCATAAAAATAAGTAAATGTAATATACTAAAATCTTAACTTCTTGGTCTGGGGAATATTGTCAATTTTGGTTTTCTTGTTATACTTTCCTGTGTTTTCCAAACTAACATGTATTACTTTTATAATCAAGAGAAATAATAAAAGAAAATGTACCTTTACCTCAAAATCTGCTCCTGACAAGCAGCAATTCTTTTCTTGAATTTGTAAAATATCTTATCTCCACTTTTAATTGTGGTCTTCTCATATTTTTCATTACCATCACCAGGAAGACTACAAAGAGAAGCAGAAAATACTTTTGAGTCTCTATATCCTGAGACTCTCAGTATTTAGAACAAGGTAATTTTTAAAAATTTACCACGCATACCCGGGGCCTGGCGCACAATTTAAATATCTTAAATTTAACACTTATTAAGTATAACAGTAATCCCCTGTCCACCTTTCTCCCAAACTCTGCTCCCTAGCCATTTTCAACTCTGGGATAATTATCTGCAATCTATCTATCTATCTATCTATCTATCTATCTATCTATCTATCTATCTATCACATTCAGGGTGGCATGGCTGTAGACTATTTACAATTTAAAAAGTCATTATGCCCACTGTCTCTCTTGATTTCTGTATTGTGGATTATTTTCAAATACCAACACGTCTTGATGCGACCCAATATTCTGAAAAACCTTATGAAAGAGACAGCTCTGGTAAAGAACCGGGTCATCTCTCCAAATTTACTATTGTAATTCTATTACGACAGCAAAAATGATCATTCTTACATCTTTAGAAGGTTTTGGCTTATAAAGCCTTTCAAGACCTATTCTCTCTCTTGACTCCCAAGCCATCTGATGAGACAGACAACAAATATCAACATCACTTCCATTTTACAAGTGAGAACTGAGCATCTGGAAGGGTCTCTGAGGTCCTAGGCCATTTCTTGAGTCACAGCCAAGAGAATAAACAGATGGTATTTTTCTAACTTATTTGTATCAGCTATAAATTTAAAAATAGAAAACAAATTAAAGAGATAGTGGACACATTTTCTTCCGTAAATACTTGGCATCCCTAACTTCTGTTTGTTCATTTTCTTGAGGGTACTTATAAATAGGACAAAGTATATTCAAGCTAACTCAAGGGTGGGTGATAAAATCCCCTTGTTTGTCTTTCTTTCTCCTCCAAGAAGAGTGAAGCAGAAAGGTCCTATACACGCAAGTTCTGCCTCAAAGAGTTTCCCCAGGGACCAGGGTAAAATCGAAGTGTATCTACTGTGGCAGCTTCCTGATCAAGTCACTTTAGACCACAGCAGCACACGTTCTCACCTTTGGGAAATCAACTGTTCCATATCAATTCCTTCTCTCTGTTGATATTCCCTCAGAAGGTTATGAGCATGATCTAGACTGACCACATCCCTGTAATCGTCCTCATCTACGACACAGATGTAGTAGGGCAGGAACTGTGGTACTACAGAAGGCAGGGCCATCTCTTCTCCAGGAGGCACAGTAAGAGCAGCAGCCAGGACAGTCTCCTGCAGGCAGAGGTCTTGGAGCTGGGCAGTACAGTCTAAGTCTTTGGCACTGTTAGAATCATTTCCAAAATCCAAGGTAAGCTGTGGTGAAGGCATCTCCTCATTGTCACTTCCCCAGTCATCTGCACCTTCACACCAATCCTCAGCTGCAAGGCCCTTCTCCTGTCTCTGGAAGAATACCCGGTGAATGAGGTCCAAGCACACTTGGGTAATCTGATCTATTTCCTTAGCCTTCCCATCTCTTCACCTTCCTGAGGCAGGCTTTGCACCAGCCACTTCCCCTCTGGCATACTCTGATTCACTTCCTGGACCCCCTTTACACAAAAGCATGTTGCTTTCCTTTTCATGGGCAGCGTGGCAAATATAATACAGTGGCTTCCTTAACTATCTGTTTAAAACTCTTTCAGCTGTGCTTTATGCTGGCAAAAAAGAACTACATTTCCCAGGCTCTTGAGCATCTAGGGGTCCAGAAGTGATCAAGGGTCTGCTAATCAGGTAATCAGGTCAGATGAGAGAGAGAGAGAAAAAAAGAGAGACAAGACAGAGAGATAGACAGACAAAGAGACAGAGACAAACTTGAGACAGAGTGAAGTGGAAAGAAAGTCCATGAAGCAAAAGGCAGCCAGTCTGTAGAAGGAGACAGAGCAAGGCTCTGGAGTCAACAGTTCTGACAAGAGCAGCTTCCAGTTCACCAGACCACACACCTCAGCTTCCTGACTGTAGCAGAGGAAGCATAGCAGCGCCTCCAAAGCCAGTTCTGAGGTGTGGTTCTGGAGGTCATTCCTGGAGTTGCCTCCTCCAGCCTATCTAATAAGGTAGCAAAACCTAATTTTAAGTGTCTCACCTTTAAAAAGTCAAAGTGTTTTTTCTATTATCTGAAGTTGAAGCCTGGCAAATACAGAAAGACAGAACCATCATGTTTTTCTTCCCAGTACTGCTATTACCATGCCTGGCACATATTAAGAGTTTAGCATATTTGTAAAGCAATCTTTACAGGCAAAGGGAGGCTGAATTACTTCTGCAGCTACCAACTTGCCTGACTTCGATTAAGTTCAGATTTCGTCTTATTAAATGTGTTATATACATATCACAGTAGGTATATTTACTGCAAACATATATGTATTACACACGCCCGTGTATATGTATACACCCATATGTTTTCCCAAACAGAAAAATCAGTAAGTTATGTGCCTCAAGACCTTCAGTGTGTATTAAAAGAAACAACTACAAAACCTTAAGGAAATAACATTTTACGATTCAGAAAAAGAGCAAAAACCATTCCAACGTACTTGAAAGACCATAGCTTAAAGGATAATCTAGAAAATACCCTCAACTTACAGCAAATCATGTTAGTCACAACGGCTTTACCTGAGTGTCTGGCGCCTCTTTCTCTCGCATCTGCAGGCACTGGGAGCGGAACACCTTCCAGCTTTAGGATAAAGACAAACGGCCGTCAGGGTTCCACTCTTGACCGCCAACGGGCTGGCCAGCCCCATCCCAGCGCGCCGGGTGCGGTCTCCCGCTCCCGCCCACTCGGTATAAAATCCCGGGGTCAGCTCTGGGGCTTCCTCACCAACCTGCGCGCTCCGCAGCTGCCGCACCTGGGGCGGGGGCAAGTGAACACGTGCAATAGCCGATGAAACGGGGAACCTTCCAGCGGGCAGTACACTTGCACGACCAAGGCAAGCAACTGCCTGCAACGTTCACACACTGGCCTTGGCGCTGCTACGGCGGGCAGGGCGTCCTGAGGATAGAGGAGGCACTCAAACTCTGACTCTGCCCCGGTACCTCGCCCACTCCCTCACCCCGTAGCCCTTATCAGCACCCGCCGAACCCGACTGCAGCGCCCTATCTCACCGGAAGGCCGCCCAGCTTGCTGGCACTCCAGGCACCGGGCCCAGTCGGGCGACCGTGCACCGCGGCATCTGGAAGCCCGAGCAGCACTGGCTTCCGGACAGCCGCCATGACGACGGGAGCCCACGTGCAAAGACGAACTACGGCAGCCGAGATGGTGCACCCTCTGCGCACGCGCCCGCCCACACCTGCGCATCGGCCCCGCCCCCTAAGGTCCTTTCCGAAGACGACGCACGGCGGACTGTTGTTGTCGTGGGCTCAAAATCAGGGAGCCCAGGCATTATGTGCCGCCTAATGCGCTGAGATAGGAAGTACGCATCCTTTACTATAAAGAAGTCTTGCCGTAAAGTTTTATCTGAAATAAGCGGGATAATATTATCTTTAACAAGAAAAAAAAAATCCTTAATTTTTAGAAATACACGTCAAAATGCTTAATCTAGGATTTGCTAAAACACAATAATGGGTAGGAGGTAGGTAAAATAAGGCCAGGAATTGATAATTGTTGAAATTTGGTGACAGGCACGTGGAGGACTGTTATACTATTTGACTTTTATATGTCTACAATTTCCCATAATAAAGTTTTTAAAATGCCTGTGGCACAACATAGGTGAACTTCAAAATACTAAGTGAAAGAAGCCAGACACAAAAGACAGCATTCTGGAAAAGGTGAACATTACGAAATAAGATCAATGGTTGCCAGGGTTTGGGTTTAGGGGGTAGGGCTTGACCACAAAGGAGTACTGGGAATTTTTTTGGATAATGAATATGCTCTGTATCTCAACTGTGGTGGTTACATGACTGCATGCAATTGTCAAAACTCAGAACCACATCTCAAAGTTAGGTGAATTTCATGTAAATTATCTTAATAAACCTGACTTTAAAAATGCATGTTGCAACAGCACTATTTCAGGCTTTATACTATCATGTGCAAAGAAAATGAATGTTTTCAAGGACTGACACCTCAAATGACACCAGTACCTCATAACACTTGGCTCCAGGCCCAGAGAAGTCCTGGAGTTGAAACCAGCTTACTTCTGGTTTATCAGTGCCAATCTGATAGCTTTAAAAGGCACCGTGAAGTCTGACCTTCGTGTTCACTTCAGGTCTAGCCAAAGAGCTGGATGACTTGGCAGATACTTGTTATTTTAGCTTATGTTTTCCAGGATATATTTTTAAATTATAGCAAGAAACAAACTTCGAAATTATTGTTCTTGGTACCACATCAAGACATCTAACAGTTATTGAGCGCTCTTCAACACCAGTCATCTGTTTACATCATAACACTACCTATTACAGCCTCTTGATTGAAGTGTGACAACAGCATGAAGGCTTATTATTTAAGATGGATTTTCAAGGTGTTATATGCTGCCACATTCTGGGATTCCAGAGGCAACTTAATATCAAAGTTGACATCATTGTAGAATCTGTGGAACAATGTAACAAAGAAGTGATTGCAAGTGTGAGGTTTGAAGTATGACTTAATTCATGATTTTCTAGGGTTTGGATCTGACAAACACACCAATCATCAAGTTGTGATCCAGTTTGCATGAGGAAGTACAGAATAAAGATGTTGAAAGCTGCTTCTGTCTCCCACTGAAGAGCTGTTTGTGATGGTTAATTTCACATGTTAACTGAGCTAAGGGATGCCCAGATAGCTGGTAAAATATCATTTCTGGGATCGTCTGTGAGGGTGTTTCCAGAAGAGAACAGCATTTGAATCAGACTGTGTACAGAAGATCACCCTCACCAGTGTGGCTCGGCATGATTCAATTTATTGAGGGCTGGAACAGAACAAAAAGGTGGAAGAAGGGTGAATTTTTTTTTTTCTTCTCAAGCTGGGACACCCATTTTCTACTGTCCTCGGACATTTGAGCTCCTGGTTCTCTGGCCTTCAGACTCCAGGGTTTACATCAGCAGCTCCCCAGTTTGTAGGCTTTCAGACTTAGACTACACGCCTGGCTTCCCTGGTTCTCCAGCTTGCAGTCAATATATTATGGAACTTCTCAGCCTCCATAATCACATGAGCCAATTCCCATAATAAATCTCCGCTTAAATATATATATTTCCTATTTGTTCTGTTTTTCTGGAAACTCTTAACATACTGTGCAAGACTTGCAACAACAGGCAGCCAAGGAACAAGTAGAAGCTAAAAGTGATGATAGTGGCAGTGATGAGGGGCAGGAGAACAAGCCACGGGCCAAGAGACGTATGGCCAATTGCAACATGCCAGTTCCTCCTGCATAAGAGAAGACATGATACTTGGCATCTGGCCTAGACCACGGTGGTCCCACTGCTAAGAGATCCTTCATGGGAATCCAGGTTAGCCTGAGAGGGTCTGCTACATTGAATTTTCCTTGGTCTGCAGACTTTTTTGTGCTTGCTCTTTTGTAATAGAGGAAGTGGCTCTGATGAGAAAAGGCCTTCACTTTTTATCAGTGACATTAAGAATGAAGTTGGGTCAGCAGTGGCCTAAACAGAACTCAACCATCAAAGAACATCTATCATCTCTACAAAGGTGGGGAGAGAAGTGGGCATTCACTCTTGGAATTAATAAAAAAAGAAGCCCACTTCACCAATAGAAAGATGAGAAGTGATGACAGTTTCTAAGCATTGTTTTAAGTGGACGTGTGCATCTGTGTGGTCACTTTCTAGGAGTCGGGTATTTCTCACTTTGAGCCTTTGTGAGTACAGTTTGCCTTCTCCTTAAGGAAGTCATTTGACCAAGCCAGAGGACAACTCAGAAGTGGGTGGCCCAGGAAAGGATGGGGTGAAGGAAGCAGGGCTGAGGGCAGCAGGTTCCCCATCTGAATTCTGTAATCCTGATCTAGGGCAAAGGTCCTGAAAGCTCAGCCTCTACCCTGCTCATTAATTCTGCCCATCGACTCTCTAAACAAAATTCCTTTTCTGTTTAATTGGCCAGAAATATTACTTAATATTTTGAATAAAAGATATATATCTTGAATAGAAGACAAAAGGGTAGTTTGTTCAAAAATCCTTTTATCAATATCTACCTTATAACAGGAAAGAATTACCTGGCCAGAAGGGTAGTCACCCTTGATCTGGGCCAGGAATTCACCCAAAACAGATATAAACTCAATGAGGTTTTTAAAACCATCCAGTGAACAAAAGTATACAATTCCTCCAAAGTCACAGAGGTGAGAAATGGAAGAAGATAGAGAAAGGGTTTGATTACAGAGGCCAAATTGCCCTTGTGACTTTAATTGTGCCCCACTCCACCTATGTTCTTCTCATGGGACCATCCTCCATGATGCACTTGCTGTCCACTTACAGTCAAGCCTCCATCAAGGCGCATCACTCTTCCTATGGGCTTTCTAACTCTTGCATAGAGGACCATCTCAGGAAACAAGAAGCTGAGCTCACAACCACCTTTGTAGCATCTTTATTTTTCTACCTGGTATATGAACAATGTGAACATGGGTCAGAAAAATCAGCTGCACTGAAACACTTCAGCTAATTGTAAGACAGAAGGGCATGGACATGAAGGGGATGAGGGTGGTAATTCCAGACAGCTTTCCCCAAAGGGCTTGTGGTCTAGATAGCCCAAGACCAGAAGGTGCTCTAGGCAGGACCGTGCAGTGCAGACTCTGGCGAGGAGGGACAAGGATAGTCACAACAGGGACTGCGGTCAGCCCAACAAGAGTTTACTGGCTTATGGCCTCACGCTCCTGTTTAATGAAGCTGATCAGCCCATTGGTAGAAGAATCATGAGAAGTCACTGGGCTGCTGCCATCAAGCTCAGGCTCAATTTTCTTAGCCAGCTGCTTTCCGAGCTCCACTCTGCAAGGAAAAGGAGAAAGAATGGTAGGAGGATGGTTCCAGTGTTGTTAGTGAAATCCACAAGCCAACCTGCAGTTATTCCCACCCTCCCCTCAGTCAGCAACTCACCCCCATTGATCAAAGCTGTTGATGTCCCAGATGATGCCCTGAACGAAGATCTTGTGCTCATACATGGCTGCAGAGGTGGCAGACGGTGCACGTTAGGGCCCCACCAGACCAGTACAAGCTACGCAAGCCAGGACCTTCCCACTCACTCACCAATCAAGGCTCCAAGAATGAATGGTGTAAGCTTGGTGAACACGATAGAGTTGCTTGGACGATTTCCTTCAAAGACCTTCAGAAAACACCCAGGAATGTCCCCCAGTTAGTTGTGACCCCTAAGTCCTCAGAAAGGAAGCACACTGTGCCCCAGGGTTTGGAATATGTAGGTCTGTGAGAACAGCCCCTCCAATTGTGTAGGACAAGCCAGGCACACCATGAGCCCCTGCCTTGGCGCCACAGCTTTATCCTCCCAACTCCACTACGTCACCCAAAGCCCATTTCAGAAGTGCTGACCTTGTGCGGCAACAGCTTCTCAAAGTCCTCCGGACTCTTCCCCGCAGCCTGGAGCTCCTTTCGGGCCTCTTCTGACGACTTCCCCTTCATGAGGGCCTCGGTCTGGGCCAAGAAGTTGGCCAGGAGGATCTGACAAGAAAGACATCCAGTTACGCTTGGAAGTACTATCTGAGCTTCAGGCAGAAGGACAAAACTCCCCGTCTTGGTTAGTTCCAACCTGAGCCAGACTGCTGGCCTCCACTCTAGAGCTCAGTTGGAGCGAAGGGGGACAGCAGAGCACATCTGATGACATTGGAAAGTAAGTAACAATGATAACTACCTTTTAAGGAATGTGCACTAAGAACTTTACTGACATCTATTAAGATCCTAGGGCAGGAGGGGAGGCATCATTTCTCTCTTCTAGTTGAAGTTCAGTTTCCTCAAGTCAACAGCACTGACTTGAGAAGTATGGAAAAGAATTCAAACCCAGGTCTCTGAGTCCAAAGCTGGTGCCCATAGCAACCCATGCTACTTCGCACACCTGAGATAAGGTGTGATCAATCCTCATCGAGGACTTTGTCTGGTTAGGAGTTGGATGGTTTTTCTGTTTGCTGCTGTGGTAAGCGAGATCTTGGCTCAGTGATCTTTGCCCCCTTCTAGTATGTCTGTGTATGTTACATTACATGGCAAAAGGGATTTTACAGATGGAATTAAGGTTACAGACCTGAAGGTCAGGAGATTGTGCAGGTGGGCCCAATGTTATCCCATGGGCTCTTAAAAGTAGAGGAGGAAATCAGAGAGATGATACAGAAGAGGCAGGAGAGAATGGAAGGTTGAGAGGGACTCAACCCACCATCGCTGATTCTAAGATGGAGGGGACCATGAGCCAGGGTGGCTTCTAGAAGCTGAGAATAAACCCCAGCTGACAGCCAGCAAGGAAACTAGACCTTGGTCCCAACCTGAGCAGAGATCCAGCAGAACCTGCTGGACTTTAGACCCACAGAAACGAAGATGGGTGTTGTTTTAAGCCATTAAGTTTACAGTAATTTGTTATAGCAGGAATAGAAACCTAATCTGCCAAACAACGCATCAGGTTGTAAGAGGTCTGGGTATAATGTGAGCCTAAGAAAGTGTGAGGAGGGTCTGGACAGGGGTTCTTACCTTGTGATGCAAACCATTCCTTATAGGGTGCTGAGTCTGAACTGGGATTAGGAAGTCACAGGGTATCATCTTGGTGCCTGTGAAGAACACTATGGTCACCCAGGCGTCTACCCCAGCCCATAGCCACCATACGGCCTAATAAGAAGTCTCTGCTGGTGGGCCCTCTCCCTCCCCAGCAGCACCCGTGCCCAGGCCAGATGGACCCTACCTTGGTGGATGAGCTGGTAGAACGCATGCTGGCCATTGGTCCCTGGCTCCCCCCACACAATGGGCCCTGTCTGGTGGTTCACACGGGTGCCGGACTTGGTGATGTACTTCCCATTGGACTCCATGTCACCCTGGAATGGGGATGGAAACACAGCCCTCTATCTGCAAGTCTTGCTTCTATGCCCAAATCCTGCCTGGGGGGCATCAGGCATACCTGCCCTGTCCTGGCCCTGTGAGATGTCCATAGGCATGACCCTTTTACCTCCCTTCAGCTGTAAGGACACAGGCTCACGAGCTTTCTAGCTTCAATCACTCTGCAGGAAGGACCCATGACCAGGAGAAGGTGGGTATGAAGGTCCCAGGAGGACCTCCTTAAGAGTAGAAATTGGCCACAAAATCTTCAACTGATTTCTTAAGAGAGAAGCCGGATGGCATCCAGAGTGGACAGCCTTTGAGGGCTGTCACCTCAACTAGATCTTAGGCCTTGGGGCACATTTGCCCTTCCTTCAACCACAGGATTCACCTCCAGGTGTTGGTGAAAATCTGTCATCCTGCCCAAAGGCTGCAGGGTAAAGACTGGGTTTGTGCTAAACAAAAGCAGGGACGGATATGCAAGTGCTGCCCAGAGCAGAATCTGGACGAGGAGGAGGGGCTCTGGGGGCTCCGGAAATTCCAGGGGTGGGCAGAGAGCTGTGCGTAGCCCAAAGAGGCACCACAGACTAGCTGTGAACTTGCTTTTCTGGAGGGACAAAGCAAGGGACACTGACTATGAACTTGCTTTTCTGGCAGTATACAAGCCATAGGAGTCCCAACCTGTGGCCCATCCCTATTGCAGGCACACAGAGTGACGTTCAAGGAAGAAATGACCCAGCTGAGAAACATGCCCTGAGCCAAGCCAGGGCCTGACTGGCCAGAGGACCATGATAACTAGTCAAATTCCCATGGTAGTCAAACTCAGCTGACGCTCTGCTTGAATAGACTCTGGATGCAAAGATTCACTGTGAGATGAGGAGCAGAGGTGGGCCTCGGTTATCCCCAAGGATAATGGGGAAAGGGCCCCTGGAGGGGCAGGAACCTGGGCACCTGGACTCGCAGGGCTCCCAGGTCCTCCACAGGCCCCATTGACCCCAAGGCCTGGCCTGGCATCTGGTACCTGCTGGAAATAGGCAGCAAAGCGGTGCATGTACTGGTCATAGGGCAGCATGGCGTGCGTCTCACACCCAAAGCAGTTGATGTACCAGATACCCAGCAAAGCCAGTAGGACGGGGGCATTCTTCTCCAGGGGCGTCGTGCGGAAGTGCTGGTCCTGAAATGAGAACAGGGTGAGCAGCTGCTAGGGAGGGAGAGAGGGAGGGAGCTGGACTAACCACACATCTCTGGCCAGCACTTGTCAGAGAACACAAACCTCAGCACTTACCATCCAATGAGCCCCCGAGAGCAGCTGCTCGAAGTTGTCAAATCCTGCAACACAAAAGCAGCATCAACATAAATGGTCATGCCCTATGCCCTTCTGGAACCAGGGAAATGCTAGATGTAGAGCCAGAAATAGGACCTGGGAGGACTGGGGCCTGCAGAAAGCCTCTCTAATGAGTTAGCTCTACCTGCAAAAGTGGATCTAACTCGGCCTCACATGGGAAACAAACAGGACTGCAGTTGTGAAGGGTAAAGAGAAAGGCCAACCTGTAAGCCCCAAAGAAAAGGCAGGCCTTCCCTCCTGACCTAAAAAAAATGTTCCAGCCAAGGGCAAAGAGGCGTGTGGTGACAGGAAGGGACTCAGGGACGAGACCCTTTCCCAATCGTAGACCTTCACCATTGTCTCCCAAAACAGAAGTACACTCACCCACGTGCAGGGCAATAGAGAGTCCGATGGCTGACCACAGTGAGTAGCGTCCTCCTACCCACTAAGAGAGATAGGAAAAGGTGCTGAGGAAAAGTTGGCACACCCTCCCCTCTCCCTCCTGCCACAAAACTTGCCCATTGATAGCAATGCTGTTCCACAGGTGCAGCTCAGAGGGCCTGGGTCCAACCCACCTCTGAGAAGCAAGACAGTAGGCCAGGTGCTGGCAACTCTTTGGGGGTGACCAACAGGGCAGACTATAACAGAGTCGCAAGACAACCAGAGGCTTTACCATGGCTGGTCCTGTCTCCTCAAACACCAGAAGACCCAGTGCTTCATACTGTGCCAGGTCCAGCCTTCTCAGACACTGACAGTCCCAGTGCCTCATACCTATGCCCGGCCTCCTCAGACACTGGCGGACCCAGTAGCTCATACCTGTGTCAAATCTGGCTTCCTCAGATGTCAACAGACCCGGCGCCGCATACCTATGCCAGGCCCAGCCTCCTCAGACAGCAAGAGCTAGCACCTCATACCTGTGCCAAATCCCATTTCCTCAAGACATCAACAGACCCAGTGTCTCATACCTGTGTACAGCCTCTTTGAACACTGACAGATCCAGCATCTCATATCTGTGCCATGCCCTCCTCAGACTTACAGGTCCAGCACCTCATACCTGTGCCCGCGCACACTTCCTTGAACAATGAAAGACCCGTATCTCCTACCTGGCCTTGGCCCCGTCTCCTCCAATACTGACAGACCCAATGCCTCATATCTGGTCCTGGCCTTGCCCCTTCTGACACTGTCAGATCCAGCACCTCATATCTGGGCCCATTCCCGACCCCTCAGGCTGTGCTGACTGACCCAGTACCTCATACTTCCGCCTAGCCCACCTACTGGGACACTGACCGGTCCAGTGGCTCATACCTGGGCTTCACTGATCTTCTAAGCCTCAGCCCCAAGACACACTGAGGCCTCTCATTCACACTGTGCCTTTTCATGCCACATTGCAGATTCTACTTTGTATCATCAGAAACCTCAGAACTCCATTCAAATCTTCCTAAATATTTATGGAGCACCTACCACGTTCTTATTCTTAGCACAGGTAATGGAAACAGTTCATGGGAGAGAAAGAGGTACATGAAACAATCATGCCAATAAATGTGAAAAAGAGATATAAGAACTTGGGAGAAAAGAAATATGGTACTGAAACCAATTATAAAAGAAATCTGAGGTGTGCTTGAGCCTAGATTTGAAGAATGAGTAGGCATTGCCCCGGGAAGCACCAAGGGAGGAGAAGCACCACAGCAGCCAGAACAGCACATGCAAAGGTCCTGTGGCAAGAGCAGCCTTTCTCAATAGTAAGAGAATTAATGCCCACAAAAAATGCTTTGAATGACTTAACTTCTCAATTCTCCCAAGGATACTCCAAGGCTAGTACCCTTCTAGATGCAAAAGAGAGATGCTAATTCATTACATTCAATGGATGCCTTGGGGCAATAGGGCTTAATTCTCTACTGGAAGCCCATTGAGACATGCTTGCCAGGAGGAAAGAGCACAATCTAGAAGCCAGAGGAAGGAGTGAGGGTAGAAGGTGAGAGGCAAGGCTGGAGAATCACAAAGTCGGTGAGGTGAGAATGGAAGCAGGAAACAAATCAGGTCGTCCAGAGACTGATGTTACCCTGGGGAGTGCAGAGGACTGATTCGGGAGGTTCGAACAGGATGAATTGGGAGATGGGAGAACTATGTGTGGCCCAGAGGTCTCTGGTAATGAGATGAATGTGGGCCCTTCACCTGGAAAGGGTCCGGGTTTAGGGGAACCTTACCTGACGGGCACCGTCCCATCGGCCACACCATGCCTGATGCAGGCTCTCAGATCTCACCTAACAGACTCAATTCTAGAAAGTGGACTGAGCAGACAGCCAGCCCTCAGACCAACAGATTCCAGCCTTCTCACCTTAGCTCAAGCCGGGTCATCAGACTTCACATTTCTGGAGAGCCCAGCAATACCAGCGTCTGACTTGAAACCGCAACCCGCAGACACAGGTCTCTAGACCTTACCTGTACCTACAGTGGGCCTCAAAGTCCGCACCTCACAGATGTAGCTCCTTGATCAGTTCAACATTCTGGGCCTCACCTGCCCATGTGCTCAGACCTCACTTTATCTAACCAGGTATAATCCTTTCTCCTCACCTGGGAAACTCAGACCCTATGGCAACCAGGGCCCAACATTACGGACCATATCGGACTAGTTGTACATTCTCAGTCCTCTGCAAAACCCCAAGCTCTGCCCATCACACCTGACCAGGTGGTGACCTGGCTCACAGTATTCTCTCCGTCCTACCCAATCCTAAGTACTGTCAAGACTGCCCCAGGCAGACCCACGTACACAAACTATGATGACTGTCTTTCCCGTAACAGGAGCCCACACTACTCACTTAACCATGCCTGAACCTACCACTGAAGTTCTCATCTATGTCCAACCCACCTTCTCAGGCCTCGCCAGCCACACCAATTATGCATTCCTGGGCTAGGGCTTGCCCACTCATTTCACCTAACAAGTTCAGGGATGCAAATTTGTGCCTGAACTCAGGTGGCAAGAACCCACTTAAGATGTTTATACACCTTTGTCCATGTGACCCTGGATCCATGGACTCACTGACAAAGCCAGCATTGAGCATGGATACAACAGCTTTCCCTGGGAGGCTAGCTCTGTCTGTGTCCTACTTCAATACCTTGCACTGCAGGGTTATACACCTGACAGAGACAGGAGTCAGACAGCTCAGCTAATGGACCAGGCTTTGCATCTGACTGCATCTGACCCTCACATCTCAACCTAGAGACCCAGGTCCACCTCCCTGAGCCCAAACCAGACTCCTCACGCCTTCCTGAGAGATCCAGTTCTATCTCTATGGGCCTGAACTCGGCTCCCAGGCCTAACCTGAGAGACCCAAGTCTATATCCTGTATCTGACTTGGCTCTTAGATCCAACACTAATAACTCCTGCTTAACCTGGGCACCAACACCTCACTGAGGAGTTGCAGAACTCAGCAGATGCAAACATCTCTGCATACCTGTGCTCCACAGATGCCACCTGAGAGATGTGGTTCTACCCCTCTGTGATTAACTCATGTGTTTCAGGTCTAACCTCTAAGACCTGGGTCAACACATCTGAACCAGAACCATGTTCCAAGGACTTTACTTGCAAGATCCAGATATACATACTTCTGGCTACAAGGTTCTTCCTTGAGAGCCACATCTACCTATTTGTGTCTAACTTAGGCCCCCAGACCTCCTATGAGCCCCACAGTGTTCTGCCTACTTAAAGAAGACGCCAGTGCTGTGGGCCTGACCTGGAGGCCGCTCTACCCACCCAGGCTATACCTTGGTTCTTCAGGCCTCATCATAAAGACCTGGGATACATATCTTCACCTGAACCCAACACCTGAAAGAGCCAATTCTACCTACCTGTGTTCAACCCTAACTCCTTAAGCCTCATAAGACACTACACTTGGCAGGTGGGCTTTGCCTACCTGCCTCTGCCTCTGACTTTTCAAACTCCACTTGGTGGGCCAGTTCTAAATACCTGTAAATTGATCCTGTATTCCCAGACTGCACCTGATAAGCCAACCTCTACCTAGGTATGCATAACCCTGGCTCCTTACACTGTACCGGGTGGACCAGTTCTACCTACCTAGCTCTTCAGCCATACCTGGAAGGTCATCTCTGCTTACCTGTGTTTGCGCTTGATCCTCAGACAGCACCTGGCAGGTCAGCTCTGCCTACCTGTGCTTGACTTTGGCTCCTCTGAACACAACTGGTGAGCCAGCTCTACCTACCTCTATATGACTCTGCCTCCTTATACTATAGTGAGTGAGCCTGCTCTGCCTACCTGTGCTGGACCTTGGCTCCTCAGACCATATCTGGTGGGACAGTTCTACCTACCTGTGCTTGACCCTAGGTTGTTCAATAGCTGGCAGGCCAGCTCTGCCTACCTGTGCTTGACCCTGGCTCCTCTGACCACAACTGGTTGGCCAGCTCTACCTACCTGTAAATAACTTTGGATCCTTACACTGTACCTAGGGTCAAGTGCTGCCCCACCGTGCTGCCCCACTAGGTAAGGTCTGAAGAACAAGGTCAGCTCTGCCTACCTATTTGACCTTGGCTCCTCAGACCACACTTGTGGGACAGTTCTACCTACCTGTGCTTGACCTTGGATGCTCAGATTATTCCTAGCAGGCTACCTCTGCCTACCTGTGCTTGACCTTGGGTCCTCAGATAGCACCTGGCAGGCCAACTCTATAAACCTACAGATGACATTGACTCCTTACATTGCAGCTGATGGGTCGACTTTGCTAGCTGTGCTTTTACCTTAGATCCTCAGACACGCCTGGCAGGCCAGCTCTGCCTACCTGTGTTTGACCTTGGCTCTTCAGAGCACATCTGGTATGACAGTTCTACCTACCTGTGCCTGACCCTGGGTCCTCAGACAGCACCTGGTAGACCAACTCTGCCTACCTGTGCTTGACCTTGGTTCCTTTGACCATACTGGGTAGGCCAGCTCTACCTACCTGTATATGACTCTGGCTCCTTATACGGTACCTAGTGGGCAGTTCTGCCTACTTGTGCTTGACCCTGGCTCCTCAGACCACACCTGATAAGCCAGCTCTATTCATCGGTACATGACCCTGGCTCCTTATACTGCACCGTGGGCCAGCTCTGCGGGCAGCTACGGGCAATGAAAACCCCTAATGGAACACAACCCTGCTCTGCAGGGCTCCCTGGCTAGCAGGAGCACCCACACATCCCTGACCACCACCTGCTCAGGCTCTGATCCCAGGGAAGTGGTAGAAGATGTCCCCCTCCTTATCAGGCAGGCAGCATCTGTAAGAAGCTGCACAGTCTTTCTTGACCGGGGTTTCTCATCTGAGTCACTGGATGCTGAAAATGATTTGAGTGACTCTTCTCAATTCTTCCAAAGATGGCCTACAACTAATCCCATTCTAGAAAGAAGTTAACTCATCACACACAACAGATGCCTTAGGGCGTTAGGGCTTAATTCTCTCCCAGCCTCCAAGGCCTTTACAGTTTTCAGAGGTTACATCTGTGGATGCTGCCACCATGCAAAGAGCTTCCCGTCTAAAGGTCTGGAAATAGCCCCAATGAGACCAGGCCCTCCCTGGTCTGCCTGCCACTGTCACGTGGTACAGCCACGCCCACTGCATTCACAGTACCCACGCCACACCCTGCACTGCATCCCTGCATCCCAAGCCTGCATTCCGCAGCCAGAGCCTGTCTCACACCACTGCTGCACTCAGGCAAGCTGCAAGGAGAGCTCCTGCCCATTGCTTGGCACCAGCTGTGGCTCTAGAGTCCATGTGACCACCTGTCGCTAGAGTGGCCAGTCAAGGTTTGTTCTTCAGGCAGCTTAGCATGGCCCCACCCAGGACCCAGGCCTGGTACCTCCTCTGCCACCCACCAGCTGCTCCTGCAGTTCCTTTCCAGGCCTGTCCGGTCATACCTCCTGCCTCATCCTGGCCCTTTGGCCTTTCCAGATTATGGCTGTAGTTCCAAAGAAAGGTCATCACTGAGAATAACTCACAACCTCAGCTTAGTGAGCTGGGTAGGGGCAGCTCCGGTTACCCCACAGTGGGTGCTACTGGCAGGCATCCAGCAGAGTATCGCCTTGGCCCTGCAAGCTTGGCCTGCCCTCAGAAGAAGTGGAGCCCTCATCTCGACTGGGCTGCTCCTGCCCCACAAGCCTCTCTGAGGGCCTCTCGGCTTTTCTCAAAGCCAGGCATGTAGCAGGTGCTCAATAAACACTGACCTGCCCTCAGAGCCCCTCACCTGTGGCTCAACAGTCATGACTTAGCAAAGGACACATAATTCACCCCACACAAGGAAGTGCCTTTACTTACATCCCAGAATTCGAACATGTTTTGAGGGTCAATTCCAAAGTCCTTCACTTTGCTCTAGAAAAGGCAAAGGGAGAGGGAAAGAAGAAAGTATGTATTAGCTGGACGGGAACAGGAGCTCCAGGGTGCAAGAAGTCATGCCGTCTGAGCTGTGAGAGCACCCCTGCCTTCCGCAGGGCCCCAGATGTGGCAGGGCTAGACCAGCCTATGAGCCCGAGGCAGGGACCAAGAGCTGTCCACCCTCAAAGTCAGACACCAAGCCAGCTCACATCTAGCACAGCAGTGGCCTGGCACCTGCAAAGCCTTTCTGCTGAAGGGGCTGTACACCCAAGGTGAGGACCTGGCCCACCCAGGGCGAGGATGGCTCACACAGTGAGCCTGGTCTCATTGGGGTTATTTCCTCTGGCAAGGCCCACCTTCTGGGCCTGTCAGGGTACCATAGACCAATTCCCCAGGATATCTGGGAAACTGAATCTAGCGCTGGAACCCAAGCCTAGGCAGGGGCCACTTCTCAAGTCAGGCACCACACAGCCAGGACACCTGCCAGCCATTCCAAAATCTGGAATAGCTTCACCTTAGGAAGCCTTCAGGGGATGACCGATCCTATTGCTCAGGTGTTCCAGTCCCCCAAGCAAACAAGGTCAGCAACCCCTTACCTTGTCCCCACAGGAAAGAAACCCTACTAATCAGTCTGAGCTCTGCCTGCAAGAGCCAGACAGTGGTACTGTGGTTAGCCAGCCTTACGATGTCCCCCTACCCCTGCCATGTCCCAGGATGGGCAGGTCTGCACTGGAGGAGGGAAGTGGTGGAAGGGGTGGGAGGGAGCAGTCAGGAAGACCTGACACAGCCCAGCACAAAGCCTACCACACGGCAAGTGCTCACAAGGTTTGCCATGGCTGACACTCCTGAATCAGAGCTCCACCCAGCCCTGCTGGCCATCCCCCACCCCGACCGTACCTTGCACAACCTCAGGCTAGGCAGATGACCCGAATTCTAATCCCAGCAATCACTGGGCAAAAGTCATATCCCTTCATTGGGGCCAACATCCTTATGTGAGAAATGGGATGCAGCCCCACCCCTGCTCAGCAAATCTCACTTGGGGAGAAGCCGGTGGCAGGGTGGCAGAGGCCAAGGGAGGTCCTGTGTGTTGGGTGTTCAGGCCTGGGAGATGGAAGGGACTGACATGATTTCACTCACTGCAGGCTCCTCGCGGAAGCCACAGATTCGATGGGAGAATGCAGAGAAGACAAGGAGGATGTGCAGCTCACATCCCTCATGGGCAACCAACCCTCCTATCCCTTCAGCCAAGTGAAGACCCCGTAACCTGTGAACCACATCCTTTCACATACATTCTGAAAGGCTCTGACCTCATGAGGCCTGGGAGATGGTCTGGGGACCCACGTGGGTGCTTACCGTGTTGGTAGACAGGGCAACGAAGTGCTTCGCAACTGCAGCAGGCTACAAGAGACAGAGCCAAGTTATACCAAGCTCATCCTGGGGGGCTACCCAAGGGCAGTGACCCTCCCACCTGTAGAGAAACCAAGGTCCTGGGTGTGACCAACTGTTCCCAGTCCTTGGTTCTGAGGCTGCTGGAGGAGCCCCACATCAAGGTAAAGAGGACAAGGGGGCCAGAGACCAGCCAGCCCATCCTATCTCACCAGCATACAAGGCCAGGAATGGCCCTCTTTATAAAGGTGTGGTCAGGGCCCTCAGCCAGTTCAAGGAGGTTCTGCCACGTTTGGTGTGTCTGGGGCTGGCAAAGCCAAGTAACCAGCAAAGCCAGGCACCAGAGAGGCTGCTGCCTGATATAGAAATAGGGCCACAGGGCCAGGCTTGGCGGCTTGGATACTCAGGTAGGTGGGTAAGATTCCAGGGCCCACCCTGTGCTTCCTGGCCCACATCCTGCCCAAAGCCCACCCAGCACTCACGTTTCTGGATGCCAGGAGAAGCCACTCCTTCGCTGTCTCTGCATTTGTGATGGTCTCCTGGGTAGTGAAGGTCTGCAGAGAAAAGAGCAGTCAACCAATCCCCAGCTCACAGTCCGTGAGGCCTCAGGCCAGGGCTTAGCAGCAGAGGCCATGTGGGTATCCAGTTGTCATAAGGAGCAGTACATGTGGCTCAGTGACAGTTATTTCACATAACCTCCACTCACATGTCCACAAAGCCACAATAAGGGGCTGTGTCTGGGGCAGGAAGGAGCCTGGAAGTAGCTGCGTCATCCTATGATGCCAGACTTCACAACCAGATGGAGGATAACCCTACTGAGAGCCACACACACCCCATGCACCCCCCATCCCCACCGTATGTCAAAGGCCAGAGTATCTTTCAGGAGAGAGGCTGCACCTCAGGATTCAGACACAATTATTACTATTTGATGTGCATTAACATGAGTAAATAGAGCATAAATAGCAATAAACAAAACCCTCATATTATCCGAGCATAGCTCTGGGATCAGAAAGGAGCAGATACTAAGGACAGATCTCTAAGAAGTACGAGAACAGTCCTGGGCTGAGCATGGATCAAGCAAAATGACTGAGTGTGGTCTGAAGACCGAGGTTCAAACTGACCGAGGTTCAAACAGTCTGGGCTTTCATTAGGTAAACAGTGTTTGTCCCCAGACAAGGAACAGTCTCACAGCAGCTGTGCTGATCCAATCCGCAAAGCATAGGTCACTCAGAAGTGATGAGGAGGGCTGCACACCCAGGGAAGCATTTACCTGCCCCGCAAAACCCCTACCCCAATACACACAGGGCTGGGGAGCCAGGCTGGGTCCGAGGCCCGTACCTTAGAGGCGATGATGAACAGGGAGGACTCGGGGTTCAGGCTGGCCAGGGTTTTGGCAATGTGGGTCCCATCAATGTTGGAGACAAACCAGACGCGGGGACCTCCTGAAGAGTACGGCTTAAGGGCTTCAGTCACCATGAGGGGTCCCTATGAAGAGACGTGGCATCAGAAGACAAGATTCCAAGGCCCACGAGAGGTGGGGACAGCCAGGTCCTAGCGCTGGAGAAACTAAGGCCCTGGACGGGACCCCTCACTCCATCCCAAGGCCGTCCTCTCCTCACCAGGTCAGAGCCGCCGATGCCGATGTTGACGACATCTGTGATGGGCTTGCCCGAGTATCCCTTCCAGTCACCGCTTCGGACACGCTGGTAGAAAGCAGAAGACGTGATCAGCCCAGCCCCGCAAGGGTAAGCTGCTGCTCAAAATATCATTTCTCCTGCACCCTTACGTCTCAGTCCCAACTTTCAGGCCCTTGCAGGGGCCTACCGAGTGGCACGTCGACAGGTGGCAGATCCTGTCGTACATGCCACACTAGCCCTCAACTATTTCATCATTAGCAAAGTGGGGTGACATCCCTACCTCATAGAAACATTGTTGGAATTTACAAAACAAGGAAAACTCTCAGCAGAACCTAATACATCAGAGACCAAGAGATGTGAAATTCCAACTACTGTTGGTCTGTGCCGGAAACAGGAATATCAGACATGCAGCCAACCTCCACACGGACCCCAGTGATTGTTGCTTCCTGGCAATCACACCCCGCTTTGGTTCCTCGCGCTGAACAGGGCTGACCCGTGCACCCATCAGGATACCATGAACGTGACGGAGCATGACTTCAGAAGCTGGGTCATAAAGACCTCGCAGCTTCTGCTTTGCTCTCTTCTATCACTCGCTTTTGCGAGAGCCACCTACTATGTCGTGAGGACACACAAACAGTCACATGAGGCCCACGTGGTGAGGAACTGAGGCCTTCTTCCAACAGCCGGTACCAATTCACCATCCATGAGTGGGAATCACCTTGGAAGATCCTCCAGAACCAGTCAAACCTTCAGATAAGTGCAGCCCTGCCCAACATCATGAATAAAACCTCAAGAGAAACCCCCAAACCATGACTGACCAATTAAGCCACTCCTTAGAAACTATGTGAGATGGTAAATGTTTACTGCCGTTTTAAGCCAAATTTGGGTGTAATTTGTTATCTAATGATAAATGACTAATGCAGATCTTGGTACCAGAAATCTCTATCAAAGCAGGGCATTGCCATAACAAAAAACGAAAATCTGCGGGCCAAAGCTAAAAGAATCTTAAGGAGAGAATTCATGAAAGTCTGAAGAATTCGTGGGCATGACTTCTGTCTAACGGAGTGAAATCTCCCAATAAGCTTCCTAGGAAGCTCACGAAGTTAAGAAAACTGCAGTGTCGGAAGCACCAGCAGCTTGGACTAAAGGAACAGCGATGGTCCAAAGGGGAAGAAGCCTTTAGATAGCCACGTTTCTCCAGGCAGTAGCGGGCTGAGAAAACACTGTGGTTACAAACAAGGGTACCTTTCGTGAAAAAAGGATGAATGAAGGCAGAGCCAAAAGTCCTGAGGAATGATTCCCAGGCCTTGAGTGCTAGCTAACCAAGCAACTGACATGTGTCCTGCTGGATTTCAGAACTGCTTTGGACCAACTGCTCCTGTGTGCCTCCCATTCCCCCTCCCCTTTGAAAAGGAATTATCCCCTATCAGTTATCCTTTGCCTGTCTCACCACTGTAGGTTGGGTGTGTGAAGGGTAAATAACTTGTCTCTTTAATTCATGTTTCAGATTAAAAGGAACTGTGTTTGAGTTGTATGAAAGGAAATGCAGGTACGACTCTACCTGTACCTAATTTAGATGATGAGGTTCCAGACTTCTAAATGACACTGTGATGGGATATCCCCTTAGGAGGTGAGTGGGGGTATTTTACACGTGGAAGGAACATGATGAATCACTGGGAGGCAGAGGGCAGACTATGGTAGCAAATTTCCAAGATCGTTCCCAATGATCGTTACCTCCTGGCATTGCATTCATGTCCTTAGTTAGTCCCCTCCCACTCTAATCAGAGCTTACCCGTAAAACCAATAGGGTGTTACAGAAATCAGAGTATAATTTGTGATGCTGGCTCATAAAAGACCTTGAGACACTTTGTCTTTCTGTCTTCGATCATTCACTCTGAGGAAAATCAGCTGCCTTGTCATGAAGACACTCAGCCTGTGGGAAAATCCACCCGGTAGGAACCAAAGGCTCCCAAAAGCCAGCGCTAATTGCTAGTGAGCCACTTGGAAGCAGGTCCCACAGCTCCCAGTGAGCCTCCAAATGAGTGTAACCTTGGGCCAACATCTTGACTACACCCTTATGAGACCTGAGACAGGACCAGCCAGCATGGACCCTTCAAATTCCTGATCCACAGAGATGTTGGTCATCGTTTTCAGTTGCTAAGTTTTTGAGTAATTTGAAGACTTGGCAACTTTTATTCTTGCTTTAAATAATAAAGTAATTAACTTATGGGAAATTCTCCATCAATACAGAAAGGAAATAAGTTGCCCATCTTCTCAACCCTCGATCTCACCATTAAAGTTTTATTATAATAAAACATCTCAGAGGCGAAAATGTGTATATCTTTAATATAACACGCATTCTTTATTTGACCAGATGGTGTTTTACGACGCACGCCGACTCTGTAACCTTTTCTGAACTTCCGAGTGTACCCTGAACAGCATGGCAGGTCAATGTGATCGTCGCTCCCTAACCCCTAATGGTGCTCAGGACTGTAGTATACAATGATACACCGATCTTACTGATTAGTCCCTTCTGATAAATAAGCTCAGGCCGTTTTCAGTTTCCGTCACCACAACTAAGGTGGTGGCATCCTCACCCCATCATGCTGAATTTCTAAGAGCATGGCCATGGTGGGGGGAAGGCCTCTCCACCATAGAACTCCTGCCATTCAGCAACTTTTTAAACTATAAATTCTCCCTCAGTCTGAGTCAGGCATTGCAATGGCCAGCTGTAAGGGAGGGCCTTCTGGAGACAGCTCCTGGAAGGCAGAGGCACTCTCCCCACACGGCACACCGAGCACACAGGGTTGATCGAACAGAGCCCCAGGCTTCTGAGGCATGTCCGCTCTGCCACTCACAGCAAGTGGCTGGAAATGCCCTTCCTCACACCAAGGTACCAACCACTGTTAAGGAACATCCAGAATCCAAAATGCCAGCAGGATCCCAAGCCTCCCTCACCTCAGGAAGTCCCACTCACTTGGCTGCCAGGGCAGAGCGGAGCACCTCCTGCCATTTCAGGTCTGAAAATGGCTCTTAGCCAAAGCAACCAGACTTTGACCAGTCATGCATGGGGGCCACTGCTCTCAGGGACAAGCCGACCAAAGCGTGATCATTCCCAGAGCACTCTAGGCTTGATGCCATATGCTGCCCATTGCAGAATCACCCCCGGGATGAGACACTGAGGCAACGGCGGCTGACGTGGGAGAACCTCCAGCTGGTCTGAGGCTAAACCCCTGCACCCCACACGGGAAACGCTGTGCGCACGGACGCCAACACAGACACATCTCTTCCATATTTATAATTACAAATAAGCTAAAGAATAGGTAAAAAATGAACCCACATGTGTGTGTACGTCCAGGCATGTGTGTCTTTCAAAGAGGAGACAACAGATGTATGTGTATGTTAGTACATGCACAGGAAGCCTCTGGAGTGGTTTGGGGGTGTGGTGAAGGAAATTTTGAAACATTTATTTTATCTAGTTCTAGACTAGGCGATAAGGGCATATGACTAAAGAGATTAGTAAAAGCAAGTGTCCCCCACTGTCCCATCCCTCAGGGGCCTCACTTTCCTTTTCAGATCTTGGCCATTGGCCAGACTGACACCATAAGCCCATAGGAGTCCATAGAAGTTCAGGAGGGAGGCTGCTCCACACTGCTGGTTGTGGGTTCCCTCAGAACAGGGTCAGGGAAATTCATGCCTTAGCACAGCCCCCAAGGGCCGGTAATCACACAAACTGCCCCCACCTTAGGTTGCAGTGAGGGCTTGAGCCCTCTCCAAGGCAAGTGGAAGGGTGACCCATCAGGGCCCCCGAGACCCCAAATACATGCATATATATGGCTAAAGGCAAGTTCAGCCCAGTAGCTGCTTACCTGGCAGAAAGACTTCATCTTCTCCAGGACCCTACTGACCTCTGGCATCACATCCTTGCCATCCACCAGAATGGGTGTTTTTGACCTGTTCCGCAGGGCAACATGCAGCACTGCCCGATCCTGGGGACAAGAGTCAGAGTGAGAAGATCCCCACCCCAGGCCAGCCACACTCCTGGCTGGGCATAGTACAGTGTAGCCCTAAGAGTCAGCTCGATCCCTTATCTGCTGGACATGCAGGCCCTGAGATCTCTGTCAGTACCATGGTCTCATACTGAGAACCCACTATGTGCTTATGGAAGTAGGGGCTACCCCAGGCCCATGTGCTGCTCCCTTAAGTGCTGCAGATGGCTGCAAGGGCAGGAAGGGCGGACTAAGCTTAGGATAGGCCCCAAGGGCTCACAGGTGTTCAGGTTTT